CTAGTTTATAATTCTTATTGAAGGGCTCTTTCACATCCCTTGTTAGTTGTATTCATAGGTATTTTATTCTCTTTGTAGCAATTGTGAATGAGAATTCACTCATTATTTGGCTCTATTTGTCTTTTATTGGTGTATAGGAATGCTTGTGATTTTTGCACATTGATTTTGTATCCTGGGACTTTGCTGAAGCTGCTTATCAGCTCAAGGAGATTTTGGGCTCAGACAGTGGGGTCTTCTAAATATAAAATCATGTGATCTGCAAATAGGGACCTTTTGACTTCCTCTTTTCCTAATTGAATGTCCTTTATTTCTTTTTCTTCCCTGTTTGCCTCAGCCAGCAATTTCAATGCTATGTTGAATAGGAATGGCGTGAGACAGTATCCTTGTCTTGTGCCTGTTTTCAAAGGGAATGCTTCCAGTTTTTGCCCATTCAGTATCATTTTGTCTGTGGGTTTGTCATAAATAGCTCTTATTATTTTGAGATACATTCTATCAATACCTAGTTTATTGAGAGTTTTTAGCATAAAGGGCTGTTGAATTTTGTTGAACATCTTCTCTGCATCTATTGAGTAATCATGTGCTTTTTGTTATTGGTTCTGTTTATGCAATGGATTAAGTTTATAGATTTGCATATGTTGAACTAGCCTTGCATCCCAGAGATGAAGCCCAACTTGATTGCGATGGAAAAACTTTTTAAAATTATTTATTAATTTATGTTTACTTTTTTTTAAAATTGCATTTTAGGTTTTGCGGTTCATGTGAAGAACATGCAAGATAGTTGCATAGGTATACACATGGCAGTGTGATTTGCTGCCTTCCTCCCCATCACCTATATCTGGCATTTCTCCCCATGCTATCTCTCCCCAACTCTTCACCCCCTGCTGTCCCTCCCCTATTTCCCCCAGACAGACCCCAGTTTGTGATGCTCCCCTCCCTGTGTCCATGTGTTCTCATTGTTCAACACCCACCTATGAGTGAGAACATGCAGTATTTGATTTTCTGTTCTTACGTCAGTTTGCTGAGAATGATGGTTTCCAGGTTCATCCATGTCCCTACAAAGAACATGAGCTCATCATTTCTTATGGCTGCATAATATTCCATGGTGTATATGTGCCACATTTTCCCTGTCCAGTCTATCATCGATGGACATTTGGGTTGGTTCCAAGTCTTTGCTATTGAAACAGTGCTGCAATGAACATTCGTGTGCATGTGTCCTTGTAGTAGAATGATTTATAATCCTTTGGATATATACCCAGTAATGGGATTGCTGGGTCAAATGGAATTTCTATTTCTAGGTCCTTGAGGCATCGCCACACTGTCTTCCACAATGGTTGAACTAATTTACACTCCCACCAACTGTGTAAAAGTGTTCCTATTTCTCCACATCCTCTCCAGCATCTGTTGTCTCCAGATTTTTTAATGATCGCCATTCTAACTAGTGTGAGATGGTATCTCAATGTAGTTTTGATTTGCATTTCTCTAACGACCAGTGATGACGAGCATTTTTTCATAGTTTGTTGGCCTCATATATGTCTTCTAAAGTATCTGTTCATATCCTTTGCTCACTTTTGAATGGGCTTGTTTGTATTTTTCTTGTAAATCTGTTTTAGTGCTTTGTAGATTCTGGATATTAGCCCTTTGTCAGATGGGTAGATTGCAAAAATTTTTTCACATTCTGCTGGTTGCTAGTTCACTCCAATGATTGTTTCTTTTGCTGTGCAGAAGCTGTGGAGTTTGATTAGGTCCCATTTGTCTATTTTGGCTTTTGTTGCCAATCCTTTTGGTGTTTTGGTCATGAAGTCCTTGCCTACACCTATGTCCTGAATGGTTTTGCCTAGATTTTCTTCTAGGGTTTTTATGGTGTTAGGTCTTATGTTTAAGTCTTTAATCCATTTGGAGTTAATGTTAGTGTGAGGTGTCAGGAAGGGGTCCAGTTTCTGCTTTCTGCACATGGCTAGCCAGTTTTCCCAACACCATTTATTAAACAAGGAATCCCTTCCCCATTGCTTGTTTTCGTCAGGTTTGTCAAAGGTCAGATGGTTGTAGATGTGTGGCGTTGCCTCTGAGGCCTCTGTTCTGTTCTGTTGGTCCGTATCTCTGTTTTTGTACCAGTACCATGCTGTTTTGATTACTGTATCCTTGTAGTATAGTTTGAAGTCTGGTAGCATGATGCCTCGAGCTTTGTTCTTTTGGCTTAGAATTGATTTGGCTATGTGGGCTCTGTTTTGGTTCCATATGAAGTTTAAGGTGGTTTTTTCCAATTCTGTGAAGAAGGGCATTGGAAGCTTGAATGGGGATAGTGTTGAATCTGTAAATTACTTTGGGCCTTACGGCCATTTTCACAATACTGATTTTCCTAACCATGACCATGGAATGTTTCTTCATCTGTTTGTGTCCTCTCTTATTTCATCGAACAGTGGTTTGTAGTTCTCTTTGAAGAGGTCCTTTACATTCTTTGTTAGTTGTATTCCTAGGTATTTTATTCTGTTCGTAGCAATTGTGAATGGCAGTTCACTCTTGATTTTGCTCTGCTAGTCTGTTATTGGTGTATAGGAATCCTTGTGACTTCTGCACATTGATTTCGTATCCTGAGACTTCGCTGAAGTTGCATAACAGTTTCAACAGATTCTGGGTTGACTTTCTCCTTTCCTAATTCAATACCCTTTATTTCTTTTTCTTGCCTGATTGCTCTGGCTAGAACTTCTAATACTATATTGAATAGCAGTGGTGAGAGGGGGCATCCTTGTCTAGTGCCAGATTCCAAGGGGAATGCTTCCAGTTTTTGCCCATTGAGTATGATATTAGCTGTTGGTTTGTGGTAAACAGCTTTCATTATTTTGAGGTATGTTCCATCAATACCTAGTTTTTTGAGGGTTTTTAGCATAAAGGCTGTTGAATTTTGTCAAAGGCCTTCTCTGCATCTATTGAGATAATCATGTGATTTTTGTCTTTGTTTCTGTTTATGTGGTGAATTAAGTTTATATGCTTGTGTATGCTGAACCAGCCTTGCATCCCTGAGATGAAGCCTACTTGATAGTGATGGATAAACTGTTGCAATCAGTTTGCTAGTATTTTATTGAAGATTTTTGCATCTATGTTCATCATGGATATTGGCCTGAAGTTTTCTTTTCTTGTTGAGTCTCTGCCGGGTTTTGGTATCAGGATGATGTTAGTTGCATAAAATGATTTGGGAAGGATTCCCTCATTTTGGATTGTTTGGAATAGTTTCATAAGGAATGGTACTAGCTCCTCTTTGTATGTCTGGTAGAATTCGACGGTGAACCCATCTCTACCTGGGTTTTGTTTGTTGGTAAGCTATTAATTGCTGCCTCAACTTCCGGCCTTGTTATTGGTCTATTAATGTTTTCGACTTCTTCCTGGTTTAGGCATGGGAGGATGGAAGTGTTCAGGAAATTATCCATTTCTTCCAGGTTTCCTAGTTTATGCACATAGAGTTGTTTGTAATAATCTCTGATGGTGGTTTGTAGTTCTGTGGAATCTGTGATGATATGCCCTTTATCATTTTTTATTGCATGTATTTGATTATTCTCTTTTTTTTTATTAATCTGGTTAGTGGTCTATTTTGTTGATATTTTTGAAAAACAAGCTCCTGGATTTACTGATTTTTTGAAGGTTTTTTTTGTGTCTCTATCTCCTTCAGTTCTGCTCTGATCTTAGTTATTTCTTGTCTTCTGCTAGGTTTTGAGTTCTTTTGGTCTTCCTCCTCTACCTCTTTCAATTTTGATGATAGGGTATCAATTTTAAATCTTTCCTTGCTTCTCATGGGGACATTTATTGCTATATATTTTCCTCTAGACATCGCTTTAAATGTGTCCCAGGGATTCTGGTGTGTTGTGTCTTCGTTCTCGTTGGTTTCGAAGAACATCTTTACTTCTGCCTTCATTTCATTGTTTATCCAGTCAACATTCAAGAGCCAGTTGTTCAGTTTCCATGAAGCTGTGTAGTTCTGAGTTAGTTTCTGAATTCCGAGTCCTAACTTCATTGCACTGTGGTCTGAGACTGTTTGTTATGATTTCTGTTCTTTTGCATTTGTTGAGTAGTGATTTACTTCCAATTATGTGGTCAATTTTAGAGTAGGTTTAATGTGGTGCTGAGAAGAATGTATATTCTGTGGATTTGGGGTGGAGAGTTCTGTAAATGTCTGTCAGGTTTGCTTGGTCAAGGTCTGAGTTTAAGTCCTGTTTATCCTTGTTAATTTTCTGTGTCATTGATCTGTCTAATATTGACAGTGGGGTGTTAAAGTTTCCCTCTATTTTTGTGTGGGAGTCTAAGTCTCTTTGTAAGTCATTAAGAACTTGCTTTATGTATCTGGGTGATCTTGTATTAGGTGCATATATATTTAGGATCATTAGCTCTTCTTGTTCCAATGATCCTTATACCATTATGTAATGTCCTTCTTTGTCTCTTTTGATCTTTGTTGGTTTAAAGTCTATTTTATCAGAGACCAGAATTGCGACTCCTGATTCTTTTGCTCTCCATTTGCTTGGTAAATCTACCTCCATCCCTTTATTTTGAGCCTATGTGTATCCTTGCACGTGAGATGGGTTTCCTGGATACATCACACTGATGGGTTTTGGCTTTTTATCCAATTTGCCAGTCTGTGTCTTTTGAGTGGGACACTTAGTCCGTTTACATTTAGGGTTCATATTGTTATGTGTGAATTTGATCTTGCCATTTTGATGCCAGCTGGCTGTTTTGCCCATTAATTGATGCAGTTTCTTCATTGTGTCCATGCTCCTTACCATTTGGTATGTTTTTGGAGTGACTGATATTGGCCGTTCGTTTCCTTGTTTAGTGCTTCTTTCAGGAGCTCTTGTAAAGCAGGCCTGGTGGTGATGAAATCTGAGTAATTGCTTGTTCATAAAGGATTTTATTTCTCCTTTGCTAATGAAACTTAGTTTGGCTGGATATGAAACTCTGGGTTGCAAGTTCTTTTCTTTAAGGATGTTGAATATTGGCCCCCATTCTCTTCTGGCTTATAGAATTTCTGCTGAGAGATCCACTGTGAGTCTGATGGGCTTCCCTTTGTGGGTAACCTGTTCTTTCTCTCTGTCTGCCCTTAACATTTTCTCCTTCATTTCAACCCTGGTGAATCTGACGATTATGTGCCTTGGGGTTGCTCTTCTGGAGGAATATCTTTGTGGTGTTCTCTGTATTTCCTGGACTTCAATATTGGCCTGACTTGCTAGGTTGTGGAATTTTTCCTGGATAATATCCTGAAGAGTATTTTCCAACTTGGATTCATTCTCTCGTTCACATTCAGGTACACCTGTCAAACGTAGATTAGGTCTTTTCATACAGTCCCGTATTTCTTGGAAACTTTGTTCATTTCTTGGTACCTTTTTTCTCTGATCTTGCCTTCTCATTTTATTTTATTGATTTGATCTTCAACCTGTGATATCCTTTCTTCTGCTTGGTCAATTCGGCTGTTTAAACTTGTGTATGCTTCACAAAGTTCTCGTGTTATGTTTTTCAACTCCATCAATTCACTCATATTGATCTCAAAGCTGTTTATTCTTGTTAGCATATCATCAAACTTTTTTCAAGGTTCTTAGTTTCCTTGCATTGGGTTAGAATATGTTCTTTTATCTCAGAGAAGTTTCTTATTACCCACCCTATAAAGCCTCTTTCTGTCAATTCGTCAGACTAATTCTCCATCCAGCCTTGTTCCCTTGCTGGTGAAGAGTTGTGATCCTTTGGAGGAGGAGAGGTGCTCTGGTTTTGGGTGTTTTCATCCTTTTTGCACTGGTTTTCACCCATCTTTGTGGGTTTATCTACCTGTCAACTTTGTAGTTATTGACGTTCAGATGGGGTCTCTGAGTGGACATCCAGTTCATTGATGATGAAGTTATTTCTTTCTCTTTCTTAATTTTCCTTCTCACAGTCAGGCCCCTCTGCTGTAGGACTGCTGAGGTCCACTCCAGGCCCTGTTTGCCTGGGAATCACCTGCAGCAGCTGCAGAACAGGAAGGGTTGCTGCCAGTTTCTTCTTCTGCTACTTTTGTCCCAGAAGTATACCCGCCAGATGTTAGTCTGAGCTCTCCTTTATGAGGTGACTCTTTGGATATACGGGGGTCAGGGAGCTGCTTGAGGATACATTCTGTCCTTTATAGGAGCTCAGGTGCTGAGCTGTGAGCTCCATTGTCCCATTCAGAGCTGCTGGGCAGGTATGTTTAAGTCTGCTGCAGCAGAACTCATAAACACCTTTTAAAAATTTTTTTCTAGGTGCTCTGTCCCGGGGAGTTAGGGCTTTATTTAGAAGTTTATGTCATGCTGCTGCCTTTTTTCAGGGCTGCCCTGCCGGGTGAGGAGGCAGCCTAGTCACAATCTGCCTGCAGAGGATTTGCTGAGCTGCTATGTGCTCCACTCAGCTGCTATGTGAACTTCCCTGCAGTCCTGTTTATAGGGGTATAGTTAGAACTGCCTCGGCAATGGTGGCCCACCTCTGTAATGGTGGACTGTCTCTGTAATGGTGGACTGCCTGGCAATGGCAGACTACCTCAGTACTGGTGGATTGCCTCAGTAGTGGTGGACGCCCCTCCCCCACAGAGCTGGACCGTCCTGGGTTCAGCTGTTCTTGCTGTGAAACTCTCAATGCAGAGCATTTCACATTGCTTTTTTTTCTTGGGGTGGGATCAGCCGAGCCCATTGACCCAGCTCCCGGCCTCAGATCTTTTTTTTTTTTTTTTTTTTTCTTTCATTTGAATGAGCGACTCTGTCTCCCAGTCATCCCAGTCACCAGTTGAAATGGTGCCTGGATTTGTGTCATTTCTCGTGTGTAGACCTGCTGCACCAGCTGAAACAGCCGCTGTAGACTCATGATGCTTTTTTGCCAGGGAATCTCCTGGCCTAGCTCCCTGTTTCAGTCCCCCTTTTTTTTTTCAGTTGAATGGGTGACTTTGTCTCCCAGACATTCCAGTCACCTGTTGAAAAGGCACCGGGATCTGTGTGATTTCCCATGCGGTGACCCTCTGTGCGTAGAGATTCATGTCACTTTTTTGCCTGGGAATCTCCTGGCCTGGCTCCCTGTTTCAGTCCCCTTTTTATCAGTTGAATGGGTGACTCTGTCTCCCAGGAGCTCCAATCACCCGCTAAAATGGCACCCAGAGCCGTGTATTTTGTGTGGTGACCTGCCGCGCCAGCCAAAACAACCACACTGGTGACCCATGGGGCTCCTCTGCCTGGGAATCTCCTGGTCTGTGGGTAATAAAAATCTATCTGGAAATGCAGCATCTACTCACCCTCTGCACTTTGGCTGGGAGCTGAAATCCTGAGCTGCTCCTAATCAGCCATCTTGGATCCTCCCCTTGGATAAGCTTTTAAATGTGCTGTTGGATTCAGTTTGCCACTATTTTATTGAGGATTTTTGCATGAATGTTTATCATGGATATTAGCTTGAAGTTTTCTTTTCTAGTTGTGTCTCTGCCAGGTTTTGGTATGAGGATGATGTTGGTCTTATATAATGAGTTAGGGAGAATTCCCTATTTTTGTATTGTTGGGAATAGTTTTAGAAGGACTCATGCTTTTTAGGCAATGTCCTCAGGACAGCCTCGCAGCTAAGTTTTTGAGAAATGATTGTCTGTTGGGTTGTTGGTGAGCTGCTGTGAAGGGGAAATGCTGTGGGAGAAGCTGGGGAAGAAAGGAGGGGACACAGAACTCAGGGCCCAGGTGATAGGCATGTAGTTTCTTTGTAGCACATAAGGATACCCTTAAGAGTTTGAAGATGAGTAATAACACCAACTCATCTGTGATCTGATAAGACCAACTGGCTACCATTGAGAACTGAACTGAGAGAGAGTCCTGAGTAGGGCAGATGTTGGAAGCCCATGAGGGCAGCCCATGGGAGAGAGGAGAGTGGATTAGGGAGAAAAAAGATGGACGTGGATGCACTTGGACCTACTGAGTGACTAAAACCAACAGGGTGTAGGAATTGCAGCAAATACTTTACATGCAAGCGAGAGAGACAAGTGATTAGCAGATGAGACGCTAATTTCTCAAATGGGATTTACTTCAGGGAAAGTATATTAAGGAGAGAAAGGAGTTTCATCTTAGCAATGGGATCATGAGGCACAGTGGGCATTGCAATTAGGCAGGTGGTATTAGGTCTGAAACAGGGAATGAAGGGCAGGCAGCGAGTGAAGATCATGAAGTATTTCTAACATTTACCACAGCCTTGAATAAAGTACTTTCTGACACTTCCTATGTCTTGTTCAAATTGTGAGATGACACTGTTAAGACTACGCATTGAACCTGTCCTAAAATTTATTAACAACTTTTTTCTTTTTGGAGACAGTCTCACTCTGTTGCCCAGGCTACTGTGCAGTGCTGTGATCTCGTCTCACTGAAACCTCCACCTCCCAAGTAGCTGGGATTACAGGCATGCACCACCATGTCTATCTTTGTATTTTTAGTAAAGACAGGATTTCACCATGTTGGCCAGGTTGGTCTTCAACTCCTGACTTCATGATCTGCCGGCCTCGGCTTCCCAAAGTGCTGGGATCATAGGCATGAGCCACTGCCTGTTAACAACTTTTAAATAATAAAAATTTACTGTTAGACCACGTCCATGGCTAAGAAGTTAAACTTGCTCAGAGACATGCTTGTTGCAAGTTGGTTTACAAGCACTTGAAATTTGATTGCAGAGAGTTAAATTCATTCTTTACATTCTCCATCAACTTGTTCTATGGAAGCAATCAGGTATTTCAAGAACGATACAGGTGATATCCTCTACTATGGTTTAAATACTTTCAGTATGAGAGTATTACAAGGTGGAGCATTTACAAAGTGATCAGGCCTTGAGAGCTCTTTTTTTTGTGAATGGGATTAGGTGTCCTTATAAAAGGGCTTTATGGAGCAGAGTCATGCCATTTTGTCCATCTGCCTTCTGCCACGTGAGAATACAACATTCCTCCCTCAAGAGGGTGCAGTGTTTCCCAGACAACCAAGCTTGCTCCTGCCTTGATCTCAGACTTCCCGGCTTCTAGAATGTGAGAAATTTATTTATGTTCCTTATAAATTACCCAGTCTGTGGTATTCTGTTACAGTAACAGAAAATGGACTAAGATATTCCCATGGAAAAAAAAAATCACATTTTAAAATAATATTTAATAGGGGATAAAAATGTTTCAAAAATTTGTATGCCAGGTATCATAAAGAACCTATCAGTATTGCCAATACTTTGTAAGTAAAATGTCATGACCATTTTCAATGTATCAAAAAATGGAACATCCTGTAATTACAGCAGGAAGAAAAGATTGAAGGTTATGATCCCTTTATTAACATTACTTTCAAGCAATAAGTCCAAGAAATTATTGTAGCACCATTTGAGCATCATTACCTTTCAAGACATATTTTCAGAACACAAAGAAAATCTAGATATCCTGTGAAGCTTCTGGCAATTTCAGCTTTCTGTTTGTCACCTAAATGTGAAAAATGGTGGGAAACTATGATCACATGTGCACATACGTGGGTAGGAATAAGGTGTGTATCGTTATTTTATACTAATATCTATAATATGCTATAGAAACAGAATAGGATTCTTGAAAGAACATACATTTAGCCATAGCAAAGTATGAGTACAGTATTTGTTTATGACTTGGACATTGTAAGTCTTCGCTTCCTCACCTGTAAAACACTAATCACCATACCCGCTAAGCAGGGGTTCTTCGGCAGATGTTGTACAATATTCAAAGCAAAATATCTGGACCATATTGGGCCAATAGCAAATAGTTACATTTATTATTTTGTCATGAAAAACAACAGTTTTCTTTCAGACTTAATTTAAAAGAAAGCATTCTTTAGGTTTTTAAATGAAGGTAAACTAAATGCTAAGTAAATATGAAATAATTATTTTTCATCATAATGTTTGGGACATTCACTAGCAAATGTTTTCTTTGCACCCATGATATCCTCTTATTCTACTGACAATGGAATTTACGATACACTAGACCAAACATTTGGAGACAGGAAGCCCAATCCACAGTTTGCCAGGGGTCGGCAGTGTCTCCTTAATCATATTACATCTTGAGCTTACACAAATTAGTACTGATCGATACACAATAAATCACTGACCCCAATACTCAGTCATATACACAGGTGGTAGAAATGGACAAAGTAATAGAGAAATCTGTTTCAACATAATCACCTTTAGCAATATAATATCAGACATCATTGATCAAACACAAATTACCTGCCATTGGGAACAGTTTTTCTAACTGCATTACATCATTTAATCTTGATTACACACTATCGGATAGATTCTATTTTTTTATTACTTTTTAAATTAATGATTTTATTTAACTTTTTGTTATTATACTTTAGTACATGGTGGTTTGCTGCATCCATCAACGCGTCATCTACATTAGGTATTTCTCCTAATTCTATCCCTCCCGTAGGCCCCTACCCCCTGCTATCTCTCCTTAAGCCCCACACCCCCTGACAAGCCCTGATGTGTGATGTTCCCCTCACTTTGTTCATGTGTTCTCATTGTTCACAACCGACTTATGAGTGAGAATATGCAGTGTTTGGTTTCGTTCTTGAGTCAGTTTGCAGACAATGATGGTTTCCACCTTCATGCATGTCCCGACAAAGAACATGAACTTATCTTTTTTATGGCT